CAGCTTACACGAGGGTGTTACTTCTTGTTCAGGTCCGACTCGCTCACCAAGTCCTACAGAAGGTGGTGACTCGTTACCTCCAGCGGGATAACCTGCTCGTTTCCAGCATCAGACGCCTTGTCGAGCTGGCAAAGATTGGGAGGGAAGCTTTAATGAACATAGACATTGATGAGTTAGGGTATGTAATGCTGGAGGCTTGGAGGCTTCACCAGGAGCTCGATCCCTATTGCAGCAATGAATTTGTCGACAGGCTTTTTGCATTATCCGATCCATACTGCAATGGCTACAAGCTCGTTGGTGCCGGTGGCGGAGGTTTTGCTCTCATGCTGGCTAAAAGCGGTGAGTCTGCTGAGAAACTTAAGCATTTGATTACCGAAAATGTCGATTTTGATGTCCAAATCTATGACTGGGAGATATATCTAACTGATTAGCTGGAATTTGTTAGGTCTGTCTGAAATTTTTATTATGTATTTGTGTGGAGTTTGTGGGTTGGTGAAACAATCATTATGTACGGATGTTGTTGAGGGTCTGAGTAACGCTTACAGTGTTTTACAGGATATTTGTGTAAAAATAATAATAAAAAAAAACATTTTTTTTTTCTTTTGATTTTGTTGGGAGAGGTTAAAATTATCGGACCTACACGAATTATACTTAGTAGCTAAAAGGGTCCAAATGACCTTTTGAAGGCTGAGGAGTTTAAAAGTCAAATAAATATTAGAATTGGTTCATCCAACTTGTGCAGTTCTATGTTTGTTTTGACAAATGATAGTTTCGATTATTTTTTTCTTTGGGAAATTTATTTGAAACAGGGAAGTTTAAGTGACGCTCCATGAGCTTGAATAATTCGAGGAAGTACAATGACAATTGTGAAAGGACGTCGAGGTTAATGTATCACTCGCACTTTGATTGTAATCGTAATGACTAATACGTTTTGGAAAAAAAATATGAGAATTACTAATCGGATGCTAAGATTCAGTTCCAGCAGGTTGCACCTTGTTTACCCAACAGGACGGTATAACATAACGAAGAAAAATGTCTTTTAGGTAGATTGGTTGTGTTAGTGATAAGTTACTAGGTATTTCACTTTTCATTTTTCATTGGGAGTTGTGCAAAATAGTAGGATATGTTCAGAACATATGTTCTTTCCAAGTCAGTGGTCATTACTCCGAATGAATTGTAGACAGCTCGTAGGCTTGGTCAGGAAATATTCGGATTCCGGGTATTATCAGCACATGTGCTGGAAAGTTGATACGATAAGTCTAGAAGGTTGCTTGAAAAATTGGCTATTTATGGGATACTCAATAGTAGCGAGAAAGGAGTGTTATTTTATAGTACTAAAAATTGGAAGGTGATTGTCAGCCCGAATGCCTGATTTTTAGAGGAATACTGAGTGATAAACCACAAGCCCATTTGTAGAATTGTTATAAGGAAAGAGAAAGGTGAAAGTTCGACTTCGATACCACTTATATAAATGTGATACCACAATAAAGCTGCAACACTTTTTGTGAGCAATACACCTTTGCCCGTGGAACCTTGTCGTAGTGGAAGGGTTGCAAGGTAATCTAGTGCATTCATGTTCTTGAGAAAATCTTTTGGACTCAGTCTCTAGTGAACGTGAAGCTAATCACTGGTTATACGATGTGGTGGGTTGCAAAGCAATCTAGTGCATTCATGTTCTTGAGAAAATCTTTTGGACTCAGTCTCTAGTGAACGTGAAGCTAATCACTGGTTATACGATGTGGTGCTCGTTGTAGTGGGAGGGTTGCAAGGCGAGCCCATAGATTTGTGTTGATGGGAGAGTCATTGCACTCAGTCTCTCGTAAACACGAGACTATGAATTCATGTTCTTGAGAAAGTCTTTTGACTTAGTCCTTTCTCATTGACCAATCTTAGCCTATGCAAGCCAAAGTAAAGAGTATCCATTTGGTAAAGCTTATAAATTCTTCAGAACATCTTATAAGTTGTTTGATAACCATTAAAGCTTCAAGTCATCCTGAACAGTTGTTTTTGGCAATAATCTTCTAAGAACCTTAGCTGCTATAATAAAAAGTGCAGATCCCACTTTTTTTTTTTTGTTTTTTTTTTTTCAAAGAAAGAAAGAAAAAGAAATTATTCATTAACCATCTTATGATTTTGAAGTAACATCATACATTTAGTAAGATCCAAAAATATTTGAATGATGTTTTTGAGCTTCCCAGCCATGTAGGAGATTCTGGAATGACGAAAAGCCCCATAAGCTGTATCAGACAAGGAATAACTCATGAAATGAAGCCAATTGCCTGTTTTTCATAAACCGACTCATAAATATAAGCAAAATACGGTGCTTATTAGAAACCAAATTACCTATTAAAGCCAAGAGTCACCAAGAGATGTTATTACCAACAAGATACATTATGAAAGCCCTACAATATATCATCAACTAATGCATCACCATTCATCAGAAGCACTTGATATTATCAAGTATATACACGTATAAGATTGACTTGCTTGCTCGAGATCAAAGAGCGACATTTCAACTTACCTGATTGGATGCTGTGAATGCTCCTCGGAGATTCTTAGGTGTGATTTCTGCTATATATACCGGTACCTATGTGGCAGGCTGAAAATTTTATAACCTTACAATAAAAGAGAAGAAAATGAAGTTCAAACTGTATGTACCACGTAGGAATGAATTCTGATCCAGAACCCAATTGACAGCCCCCCGATATCAAGCCACCAAACATTCTGTGTTGATACACAATAACCCAAATCAGAAGCACTTGTCTAAATATCTTGTTCTTGCAGTATGAATGTCGCCCTCATTAAAATAATTCTGCAAATTCCATTGCGTGCAATAGTTTCGATTCTCTTGTAATAACAACAAAGAGACAAATGTTTGATAAATTTTGAGATCCTGAAAGGACAAAATTTAAGAAGCAATGGGGAACAAATCATTACTCCTCTTGATGTGAGATATTATACTAGACCGACTTTAATGAATAAGAAGGATTATATTGGATAATAAATCCAGGCTAGGACACATGACATAATGATATGGACCAAGCCCAACTTGGACACTAAGGTACAGTCCCCTTATAAAAGGGGACTAAGGTATCTCAAAACCTCACTCTCTCTCTACATTCATAATTATACTCTTGGGATTTGGAGTTTTGGAGTGATATTGATTTAGGCATTGGAGGCTCGACGCCAGGACTCCTCACGGTGTTGGGTTCTTGCAGGTACGGAGGCCGTTCGAGTTGAAGTAGTCCGGGTGAAGTCCACTTCACCAACACCTCTCATTCTTAGGAAATATGCAACCTTCCCACTCACTACTACCGCAATCATAGCTTCAACTGGTGACATTGACCCAAACATCGAGTACTGCAAGTCGAATCCAAATGAAATAGGTGCAAAAAAGAACTTGTTATATAAAATCATCTGAGTAATAGAATAGTTGTACATTGAGCTTTTATAATTGTACTACACTTTTAGTTACTTCTACATTGTAAAAGTGTTATTTGTTGTTTAACACTTTATGTTTAGCATAGTAGTATATAAAGGGTAGAAACCCTAACATCCTGTACAGTTTTCACTTCATCTTTCTCAAAATAATACAATCGTTCCCTTTTTCTCTCTGTGTTCCACACACTTTGCTATTCAATTCATCTAATATGGTATCAGTCGCCGATCGATTCCTGTTCAAATCCGCTGCATCCTTACCGTTTTGAATCGTCTTCTCAACGATTCACCTTTTTTTTGTTTTTGTTCTCGATCGATTGTTTTTCGATCTGTTTCCGTTTTTTTTTTTGTTTGTTGTTCTGCATATCGATCGATCTCTCTCGATCTGTCTCTGATATTGCTTTGCTGATGACGACGCTCACAAATCCAAGCGAAGATCCTACATCGCCGTGCTACCTGCATCCAAGTGACAATCCCGGTGCTCTCATCGTCGCGGAGCTCTTCAACGGCGAAAACTACGTGTCCTGGTCGCGAGTCGTGTCAATGGCCCTCAGCGTCAAGAACAAACTCGGCTTCATCGATGGTACACTGCTTCCTCCTAATTCAACTCAAAACCCTAGCATATCTTTAGCCTGGGTGAGATCTAATAACCTTGTGCTGTCTTGGATCTTAAATTATGTAAATAAGGATATCAGACAATCCTTATTGTTTTTCACAAATGCACAAGATGTCTGGCTTGAGTTGGAATCCCGTTATGCCCTATCTAGCGGACCTAGGGTTTTTCATCTTGAGAAATCCCTAAGTACTATAGATCAGGGTACAACCTCTGTGACTCAGTATTACAACAATTTTAAAACCCTATGGGATGAATATGTTACCTATCGCCCCATATTCAAGTGTATCTGTGGTGCTTTCAATAATTGTAGTTGTAATATCTTTGAGGCAATGGCTACTGCTCAAAATCATGATTCTGTAATGAAGTTCTTAATAGGATTGAATGAATCTTATTCCTCTCTTCGAAGCCATTTCTTACTATCTACCCCATTGCCACCACTTGCAACTATCTATTCCCTGCTCCTACAAGAAGAAAGCCAGAGAACACTGTCCAACACTATCAAACCTTCTGAACCCCTTGCTATGTTAGCCAAAACAAACTATCAATTTACCCAGAAATCTTCTTACAATAAACCACCCAAATCCAATCAATCAAATGACAAACCTCGACCCAAATGTACCCATTGTGGTCTTATTGGCCATACTGTTGACAGATGCTACAAAATCATTGGCTATCCCTCCCATTGGAACATATCCAAAGGTCCTAAATCTTCAAACAAACACTCTGCCAACATTGCTACCTCTGAAACAGAACAACCTACCTCTGATAATGTCATTGATACATCCAACATGACTGACCGTTTGTTTCATGAGTTCATAGCTTTTAAACAGTCACAGGAACTGGCAAACAATAAGTCCAACACACCTGTTGTTGCAACTGCTTTTGCTGAGCCCTCAGGTATGCCTAATCCCTTGATATGCATGGCTTCTAGCCATTTCTCTAAGAATACATGGATACTTGATACTGGGGCAACTGACCACATGCTTTGCACAAATGAATTTTATACTTCACCTGCTATACCTACTTCTGTTAAAATCAATCTCCCAAATGGCAATCATACAAGTGCATCTCATGTTGGTCATGTACAACTTGCTGATTCATTAATCTTACATGATGCATTATTTGTGCGATCTTTTTCATTTAACCTGATTTCTATTTCTAAGTTGACTGCAACAAATAATTGCACTGTCAAATTTTTGTCTTCCTCTTGCATTTTACAGGATCTGCCAAACCAGACTGTGATTGGTTTTGCTAATCTTAAAGATGGCTTATATCATCTCAGACTAGATAGTTTTAATACTTTTCAGTCTCAGATGAACAAAACTGTATCCACTTTACCTGTATGCTCATCACTCACTGTAAACTCCCCTTCACATG